TCTACGTTACAAAACATTGTCGTAACTTGCTGCAGGTCTACGTTACAAAACATTGTCGTAACTTGCTGCAGGTCTACGTTACAAATTATGTTAACTAACGTAAACAAATCAACTTCCTTGTACAAAGGAACCGCGATAGCTAATTCACTGACCGTTTCACTATATATCTTGAATAAACAACAACAAAAAAAAACTCCCTTAACTATAAGAAGATTAGTTACTTAACGATGATGGTGCCATCTTTTGAAAGTCACTCGTACTGAAAATTAACTATCTACATCATCTACATATTACTGTATACGAGTTGAAAAACATTAATATAAAAAACTATGGGTTTCAAATCAGCGTTGACATCACTTCTCGGTTTGTAGTTCCCAACAAGTTTTGGATTTTTTTTTCCAATGCACCTTAAATGATGAAAGTTTTCTCGTTTCTGTTTTAGCTCAAAGCTACACAATAGACTATCTACGCTCTGTTCACCATGGGTCCATTCATTAACCCTTCCCGCCCAAATTACTCTCCGCATTTTGGGGCCGTGTTGATATTATAAGAGTGATGCTCAACTCAACTATTATGTCAGACAAAAGTAACCCAAAAGTTGGCGGTGGTGATGTTGACCACTAGTGGCCCAGCATGTCCAGGTGGTTAGGGCGCTCGACTCGCAATCTGAGGATCGCAGGTTCGAATCCCCGTCCCACCAAACATGCTCGCCTTTTCAGACGTGGGAGCGTTACAATGTGACGGTCAATTCCACTATTCGTTGGTAAAAGAGTAGCCCAAGAGCTGGCGGTGGGTTGTGATGACTAGCTGCCTTCCTTCTAGTCTTACACTGCTAAAATAGGGACGGCTAGCGCTAACAGCCCTCGTGAGAGCTGTCCCTGAGAAAATATTATAACCTCAAAGTATATTTTTAACAATATGTTTACGACCAAGGGATACTATACTGCACAAAACAATTAAAGATTAATTTGAATTTAAAGTATTTTAGATAGTGCTAAACTTTGAAAGACAGAAGCCCCAAACAATATGATAAGGAAATTATGTGACTCATTAATAACTTGTGCACAGGTGGAGGGTTTATGGGGGACATGTCCCCCAATACAATAAACTAAGGTTTAAATACGTTAATGTAATTTTGGGATATTAAGCTTTATTTTGCTAAACTTATGTGAGAGATAAAAATAATTAATACAAATTTTATTTTAAATATTTTTAATCTGGTCTTCGGACCTAATCATTCGCTTGTTTTTCTTGTGACTTTAGCTATGACAAAGCAAAATAACGTTAAATAACTCTCTTCGTTCATTCTTATGCAAATCAGACTCCCGATGATCCGTCTTGTGATCTGAAATGCAGATCAATGATCAATTCAGTCTAAGCTTGCAAGTGAACATTTGATAGAGATAGCTCCACATCTGTACAGTTTCAGTCTAAGCTTGCAAGCGAACATTTGGCAGAGATAGATCCACATCTGTACAGTTTCAGTCTAAGCTTGCAAGCGAACATTTGATAGAGATAGCTCCACATCTGTACAGTTTCAGTCTAAGCTTGCGAGCGAACATTTGATAGAGATAGCTCCACACCCGTACAGTTTCAGTCTAAGCTTGCGAGCGAACATTTGATAGAGATAGCTCCACACCTATACAGTTTCAGTCTAAGCTTGCGAGCAAACATTTGATAGAGATAGCTCCACATCCGTACAGTTTCAGTCTAAGCTTGCGAGCGAACATTTGATAGAGATAGCTCCACATCTGTACAGTTCGTGATATTTCACATCTTTGTCCACTAAGATCACAAAGATGTTTAAAAAGTTGAGCTTGTTAGTAAAGTCTCGACCTTTGAAAGAGCTGTTTTCAGGATCAATTTAATACCTAAGATCAACTAACAAGAAACTAATACGTCTCCTAAGACCATGCCATATATGGTCAATGAGACTGAAGTCCGAAGAGCTTACAGGCCACTCCATTCGGTCACCTCCACCACTCCTCTTCTTCAAAAAATGTTGTGATATTCTCAGATGCACTGATTATCATACAGGCCAAACAATGCGCAGTGTACCGTAATAACGGAAGATAATGTAGTAGATGTTAAGTAATATTGAAACTGAATTTTTAACGTGACTGACACGAAGAAATGAGGCCTTGTTTTGTTTTGTTATGAATTTCGCGCAAAGCTACACGAGGGCTATCTGCGCTAGCCGTCCCTAATTTAGCAGTGTAAGACTAGAGGGAAGGCAGCTAATCATCACTACCCATCACCAACTCTTGGGCTACTCTTTTACCAACGAATAGTGGGATTGACCGTCACATTATAACACCTCCACGGCTGAAAGGCCGAACATGTTTGGTTGTGACGGGGATTCGAACTCGCGACCCGCAGATTGCGAGTCGAGCGCCCTAACCACCAGGCCATGCCAGGCCAAGAAATGAGGCAAAACACAATACAAAGCAAATTGAATAGTTGTACAACTCAAAAATATCGGACAATACACACTGCTCTCAGAATGCCGAGAAATATTATGAGGAGAAATTCAGAATGAAGACTGAGATCGTGTAATGAATATATACAAAACAATAAAGTCATCTTTCACAGAGAGTATACAGAATAAGGAGTATACAAGCTCCAAATGCTGCCGTACTTCTACACAGCTGGCCTCAGTACAATAATGCATGATGATAAACAATATAGTCCTGACATATTCCACGAGAGTAACTTCAACAAGATGTAAGGCCCGTAACAACAGGTAACTAGAACACCAGTAAGCTATCCACATACCATAGTCAGTTCTCTGTTGTTAAAACCTCCATGAGCGCCCACATACGTGCGATTGTTCGAAGAGTTTCAAAAATCGTAAGTGAACATCAGATGTTCCTTATCCATTAGACTGAAGTCAGGGCCAAAAGCAGCAACATATGGTGACACAAAGAATCGTAGAAATAGTCCCAACAATGAGAGGCATTAATGGCACCCTTTCCAATACCACCGTCGTCTGCCACTTTCATGTATGAAATCGAAGTTAATTTGTTCCAGATTTTCTAAAAATTAGCTTGTTACCTAGCTGTAGGGTAAAATATGATTAACCTGTTGAAAAAAAAAGAAGCTGTACATGTTGATTGTCCACCGTGTGTGTTCTTAACATCCATTACAGATTAACTGCTCTTTTGTCATGTTGGCTGCCTCGTGAAACCTATTTCTCACCATCTATACGCAGAACAACTTCAGGTTTCGGCTACTAACATCTATTTCAATCTTGAAGCAGGTACCTAATAATTGCGGCAAGCCAGGGTCGATAGATAGCTGTCACCTGCTTAT